GATAATCGTAAGATTATTCCTACCTGATACGAGACAAACAACTCCACGCTTGCAGGCACTTCCATCTCCACCATAATCGTTATGTTCCTAAAAAATATTTGAGGGACATTTGCTCATGTATAGCAGTAATATAATAACATGATAATGTAGCATATGTATGGAGCGAATATGGATAGAAAGAATAATTAAGTTTAAAACTTCACAATTACGTCTCTCCATGCATCCATCACTAACGTAGCCGCTTCCCCCGAAGCTTCCACCCACTCGTACACGGCATTGTGTGAGGATGAGTAAGGTTAGTCACACTTATAGTTCACTAAACGAATTCTTTCGCGCTTGGTTACAGTTACGACGCGGATTGCAATGCTTTTTGCAAATGCCCTTAGAAAGTTCGCGGGCTTTGCTATAAAAGACGTCGGCTACAACGGGAAACGGTTTGTTACGCTACTACTCTTCCAAGGTGAGTTGCCGCTTGGTTCAACATCATCTTTTCTTTTTCACTATTGTCAAATTCAGAGATGTCCGACGCCACAAAGTTAATGGAAACAGAGTCGGTCAAGAGATTCGCTTTTTTTGGTGTCACCATCTCAACGGTCGCGACTCTAACAGCAATTATAGCCGTACCAATGCTATGTCTCTATATGCAGCACATTCAGTCAGGACTCCAAGATGAACTCAATTTTTGTCGTTCTAGAGGAGAGAATGTCAAAGCTGAATTTAGCAAGGTAATTAAGCAATTTTCAAGACCTTTTTAATCTTATAAATGCATTTCCCTTACATATATGTATGCGACTGTTTAATCCTATTAATGGCGAATTAATCAATTTAAACATGACGAGTTCTTCAAGGCGCACTAAGCACCTGACCTTGAAGAAACTTTTCTTATAAGATAATAAGCCATTGTGATTGAATTACTGTCCACACTGTTTCTCTCTCTCTCGCAAAACTTGCTGAAGCAGATTTTTCTACTCCTTTTTCTTGCTTATAAAAAATATTATCTCCGTATTTCAGCTGGCCACGGTCCGCCAAGCAGCCATAATCAGTCGCAAGAAGCGCGCACTCAATGCCTGCTGCTCATGCGGAACTGGACCTCCAGGACCACCAGGTCCACCAGGGCTCGACGGTCCTCCCGGCAAAGATGGAATACCAGGTACCCCTGGCGCACCAGGAGCGGATGCTGCTTCGGGAGATATCCACCCAAAAGCAGAAGATTTCTGCTTCGAATGTGAACCATCTCCACCTGGTCCTCCTGGACCACCTGGGATAAAGGGCCCCGACGGGATGCCGGGAGCACCAGGAGAGCAAGGGCCACCCGGGCGACCAGGATTTAGAGGGCCACCTGGACCCCAAGGACCGCCTGGGAATCCCGGAGCCGATGGGGAGCCTGGTGCACCAGGACAGCCTGGGCAAATTCGCACTATGCCTT